TGATGAATAAATTAGTTTTTTAAGTTAAATATAGCGGACTGCGTCTTTCAGAAAATGACGAAGTGAAATGGAGAATCTGAAACTATACACTGATACACATTAAGAAGAAGCAGCAGGAAACTACCGTCCATGTTTATTAAACGCAGCCGGCGACATCTTGGCATCAAATGGACAGATTAACAACGCCCAAAAAGTATCCCAACAAGCATACCAGATGCTGAGACCTACTTCTAGAACAACAATAGCACATCCTATAATAAGGAAGAAGTATCCACCAACAAATTTTGCATACGTGGAGCACTGATTCAAGCCGCTATGTCTTCCACACCATGCAACGACCCTCTGGCAGTCCTCGAAGCACCTGGTTAGAGATCTGCCATTACAGCTATTTTGTACTCAAGCACTTTTCTTCCAAGCTGTGCCACCAGGACTTCGCTGTCTATGCAATGTTCTTGAAGCTATTAGTGCAAACATTATAACCAGCTATCGGTTCCTTATTTCCATAAGTCGTCATCCCTAGCCTGGAAGCTACGAAGCTTGATGAAAGCACTTCACGCTTTCTACAACACTAGTGTCGAAGATGGGCGCTATTTTCATTTCAAGCTATTTACCTGATTTAATTGATAGACGAGTAATCAGCTATCACGTGTATTGCGAAGACCTGAACATCATTTTTTCTCTCATTCGTGCCACAATGGTCTCTGCAACTCAGAGATAAAATCGTTTCATCTTCTTGGGAGAGAGGGAAGAATCTTTGACCTTTCGCGATTCCTCGGGTAGCACGCGACGATAGCTGCTCTATGCGTTCAGCCTATCTTGTTTTGCTCAATCTGCTTTCCACAATAACCATTCTTCACTCCAGCACGTTGTCTGATATCTGCATTGGCGATATACTCACGGAGCGAAATATCCAATACACTACTTTCCATGGCCATTTCGGTGACAGACTGTATCACTTCGCGGCCATGCTTCGTAATCATACAACTTCGCCGGGTACATCGTGTTGAAGAAGTAGGACCGCACTAATCTGTTGGTCTAAACAAGATGTCGTTGAAAGAACTGAGCGCCTCCCTCAGACTGCTGTCAATTTCCACCAAATTTCGGCCTTCTCATCATTTCGCATATTAACTTCCTGGCCAAAATGGATGTAATTTTCAACTTCTATTATACAACCTGCATTAACCGTCATCTGGACCTTCTCCAGCGCAGCTGACCGCAAATATTTTCTCTTCGACCTATGGATTTGTAGTCGGACTTTGCCACTTTCCTTATAGAGTTGTTTCAATATCCCTTGCAATCCAACGGTACTTTTCGCAATCAATACAGCGTCATCAGCAAATCTGATATGATTAAGCTGTTCTCCGTTGATCTGCTTGCCTATATTCTAGTCTATCCTCCGGAACATCATTTCTAGATAATACACCGTAAAAGCTTCATAAAAGTTATCTTCTTTCATGCCTTCTTTGATTGAGATTCGGAGGAGAACGTACAGCACAGCGACTGTACACCGTATAGAGCTCGCTGATTCGAAATCGATAAAGGCAAAACATAAGCAATCTGTTTTTTTTCGAAAGGCGCCAGAAACTAAGTCAGAGTAAACGCTGTGTCCACTGTGCCGACGATCTTTCGATACCCGACCCGCACTCTCGGCCGCTGCTGATCCAGTCTCAATGAGCGAAGGATGATTATAACAGGACTGGCACTCCAACATTTCAGATTTCACGAATGGGAGAAAATCTGCTCTTTAAACTTATATTTCGGTGCCAATAACAGCAACATAATTGAACTCTTCTTTGATCCTGTCGCTCATTCGGCTAACTGCAACAAATAGAACCACTTTACGCAAATGAATTTATTTCACAGCTGGAAGACCAGTTATTAAGAAAACTTCTGCCATACCCTCGATGTCAATCTAGTTTTAAGTATACGAAAGGAACAGCACCGTAACTGTTCGCATGCAACAAAATAGGTTCCTACAAATACACGGCTACTATATTATTCAAAGTACGATTCAGAGATTTCCGACATTTTTGCGGACCCACGAAGTTTAACATTGTAGTACACACATGGCTGTAACATAAGGGTTGATAAAATGTTCACTCTAGCTGAACTGATGGTCTGACGAAGCCAACGAAGCAAGACATCCAAATGGACCAAATAAATTACTTCAATTATGCCTTCGGTTAATAGCTAATTTCTACTTATATAAGATACGTATTTATCTGCTGATGTTTCTTTGACAGAATATTTCATTTTAATTTTTCGCTCGATGAAAAACTGTACACAAAAGACAAAAGAACTCTCCTTGCAACAGCCTTCAATTGAAAAACTTGTTTTGGTACTCACTAAAATGGTTGAAAACTCAACGAAGAACAGACTAGCAACCACAAACAAGATCTGTGGCAAACACTTTTAAAAATGGCTTTTTCAAAAGTGACACTGGTAACATGAAAGCAAAAACTATTTATCACCAAAATGCGCCCCACAACTCCGCCGTTGCCGGTACCAAGCACAGTCGAGAAGGAGGGTTTGAAACTGTGGCGAAGTCCCCGTCAAATTTCGCGACCTGCAAGTCATGGTACGGACGTGTTCGAAAATTATACCGACTCGGTCGTCGCCCGCGGTGCCAACGACCGCGCAAGCTGTTGTGGGACTGAGGCAGGCTGCGAAGAGTCGCCGATCAGAACCTGCTCATCGTCCTCAGCGAGCCGGGGACGTAGTAGCACAACAACGGCTGACGAAGACCGACGGAACGACGACGAAGATATCAGTCAGCAACGGAGTCGCTACCCGTTCTTAACGGAGGCAGACAGCGCGAGACCATTATAGCACGTCAGAAAAGGCTTCACGAGAACGACACCGCCAGTGATTGCTTACAGTCAGAAATTGGAATATATCCTCACTAAAAAGGAAAGAACAAGAGTCAGAGATCATAGAGTACCAACTCGACATTGCTAGAATACTGAACCTCGAGGGTGGAAGCTATTCTAATCAAATATCGATATCACGACGAGCGCTAAGGCCGGTGTTGGTGCTCTGGTAGAGCCCCACCTCGCAAATAGAATCACTGATGGGAATCCTGCCAGCGGAACGGTAATAATCCCCCGACTGGATACCACAGGATAAAGCCTTGATACCAGGTCCACGCGCAATACTTGGTGGGAGAGTCTGATACTTTCCTTGAGGAAGTGCAGTGTGTTCTGTCCGAAATGCCAAATACAGAGTCCCTCATATTCATAGACGATTTTAATGCGCATATCGGACGCTGAAAAGTGTAATGGCGTAATTGGAAAAAAAGACCCTAGTGACCTCAACAATTATGGCATGACGTTCTTGCGGCTTTGTGCCAAATAACCGACTGTCCATTACGAACACCTTCCTACATCATCGAAGAGTGCATTAGCATGCCTGGTATAGGGAAGCTTGTGCACAGAAGTCAATGAGCGATTTGATAATCGTATCGTCTTTTTTAAGAGGCGCTGTATCGGAAGTTCGCGTTAAGAGAGGCGCAGAGCTATCAACCGATCATCACCTTGCTGTTGGCACGCTGCGCTGTAAGAAATGGAGTACCA